AACTCAGCTCTGAATCTTTGCAAGTTTCTTCCTAGAGCAGGCTGAAATTTCTAGAATATTCTCCCCCTGCCCCAGAATATTATTTTTAACCCCCAGGCAAGTGATGGTAAATTCTTCAGAATCCTTGCGGTTTAGATGGAGGAGGAAGGTGCTCTTGGTTTGGTTTCGGTTTTGTTTTGCTCCGATGGTAGAAGTGTTAGTAATGACATCCTGTGCTGAATTCTTTTCTGGGCCATCTGAGGTTGGATGTATGTCAGTTACCACCTTTACACAGCTTCTGGGTCGGTCACTGCAGGCCAGGGTTCAAACCCAGGCCCTCAAACTGCTTTTTGGTTTCTGGGCATTTCAGGGTGGGCTCTGGCCTTGGCTAGGTAGCTCAGTTGGTTAGAGCGTCATCCAATAATCAACCAATGAATGCATATACAACTGGAATAACAAATCAATGTTTCTCTCCCCCCCCCCCCCATACACACACACACACCTTCCTCTCTCCCTCTAAAGTCAAAAAAAATTTGGTCCAGCGGTGTGACTCAGTGGTTGGGCGTCAACCTTGGAACCAGGTGGTCACCATTCTGTTTCTTCAGGGTACACCCCCTGTGTGGGGCGTGCAGGAGGCAGTTGGTCATTGATTCTCCTTCATCATTGATGTTTCTCTCTCTCCCTCTCCATTCCTTTCTGAAATCAATTTTTAAAAAATGTCTTTTTAAAAAGTGGGCTCTGGCTTGACCCCTCGCCCCCAGAACTGGGATGGGTGGGGCAGCTCCTTGTCTGGGTGTTTTATCACATCGGACTTCAGGCCACAAGAAGCAACGTGGAGAGAAGTTGATGCCTCGGTACGAGCCCCACCACTTAATGAGGTTGTGACAGTCTGGGGGTGTAGTAAAGATCGTATGACTGAACTCATACACTACAATATCACCACAGACCCTTACGGAGCTCACCGACAACAGCGTGGCCTTGGCCGAATCTTACTGTTCACCAGGCCCACCAACTTAAAACTAAGCAATTATTTCTTTAATGGGGGAAAGGCCCCTTAAAACTTAGTCCAGCCGAAACCGGTTTGGCTCAGTGGATAGAGTGTCGGCCTGTGGACTGAAGGGTCCCAGGTTCGATTCCGGTCAAGGGCATGTACCTGGGTTGCGGGCACATCCCCAGTATGAGATGTGCAGGAGGCAGCTAATCGATGTTTCTCTCTCATCGATATTTCTAACTCTCTATCTCTCTCCCTTCCTCTCTGTTAAAAAATCAATAAAATATATTTAAAAAAAAAAAAAAAACTTAGTCCATATTCTGAGGGCCTGCTATGTCCTGGAAGGATGCTCAAATGCTTCTTGTCTTAACCCCTCTTGTTTTACAACAGAAGCAGGATTAGGGGGCCCAGGCCCAGGCCCCTGAAGATCTGAGGAATCCACCTCCTTGGTCAGGGCTCACAACCACCATTGTTGCCCCCCCCCACCCCGCCCGCCACAACCCCACACACAGGCCTGTGTGTGCACCCCAGCCCAGCTATGGCCCTGCTCAGCATCAATGAACTACCTGAGAACATCCTGCTGGAGGTATTCATATACGTGCCTGCCCGTCAGCTGGTATTGGACTGCCGCCCTGTCTGCAGCCTCTGGCGCGACCTCATCGACCTTATGACCCTCTGGAAACGCAAGAGCCTGCGTGAGGGTTTTATCACCGAGGACTACAAGGAGCTTGTGTTTGACTGGAAGAGTTTTTACTTTTTGTGCATCTTCCCCAGGAACCTCCTACGCAACCCATGTGCTGAAGGTGGGCCGTTTCCTTCCTCCCTTTCGGGAACCTCGGGGCCTTTGCACTTGCTATGCCCATACTAGCTGGAATGTTCTCTCAAAGCTGAGCCCCCACCAGGCTCCCTTGTTTCCTCCTCATTCTTGAGGTCTCAGTTCAGAGACCTGCCCTGGTCCATCCAGAAACAGTGCTCCCTACCTCAGTCCTATCACCCCCATTTAATTCCTTCATAGCACTTTTCATACCCTAGAATTGCCTTTTTATCTCTCTTTTTTCCCCTTCAAGTTCCAGGGACCTAGTGGATCTAGCTTGCCACAGTACACCCAGTGTCCACAATTAGACCTTCACATAGCAGGGGCTCAAGAAAACGTTCGTTGAAGAATCAACAAACTGCAGGTCCACCTTTGCCCCTTTAGCTCAGTCCAGCTGCCTAACCTTTAGGAGGCTTCCTTTACGGGCCAGGCACTAGCCCGAGCTCTTACCAAATGTCAATAATCTTCCCGTTACCCTCATTATACAGATGAAAATGAGGGTTTTGAGAGGTGACTGCAATCACATCGTTTGAGTTCCCTGTTTAGCTCGAGTTCTCCTGTATTTGCCAGGTGCTCTCCTTTGTTCAGTACCTGCTACATACCGGGCACCGTGCTCCTATCGGGGCCACGGCAGCGGCTGATGCAGAGGCGTTTATAGACTTAGAATCCCTCTCTTGCCTGTTTTCTCTCTTTTCCTCGCGCGGATCCCAGGAGTCGGCCGCGGGAGGAGGGTTAGCTCCATTTTGTAGATGAGAATGTCAGGCCGCAAGCGAGATGTGTCTTGCCCAAAGATCCAGAAATGCTCAGCTGATGGAGGCCCTCAGGCCCCTCAGAAGCTGCCCAGCCCGGCCACCAGCTCAGCTCACAACCCTGCAGAGCCAGCCTGCAGCCTCGCCTGCACGGGGCCCTGTATTACCCGTCTGGCTCTCTACTGGGGGGACCCTGGGCACACAGGGAATAGATGTGGGTTCCTTATAGAGGGAACAGGGGAGTAATTTGGAAAAGCTCCCCTGGTGATTGTTCTGGAAAACCTTGGCGAGAAACACGCCAGTTTTCTGAGTTTCTCTCAGCTCTCTCTGAAGAGGGAGACCAGGACATGGCGAGCCAACCGGGTGGGGATGCTCCCATGAATATGGGGTTACTACATGCCACCAACTCAGAGGGCGCCCATTCTCCCAATTATCATCCCTCCCACCCAGGCCAGAGGGTCCTATGACCCAGCAACAAACCGCACACCCTTCCGATCTCAGTTACATAGTGAGGATGTCAGTTGTCAACGGACTGGTCCCCATTGGGACAAATTCACATTAGCCATTAAGAACAAACGTACCAGCACAGGCCCTTCACAATGTTCTGAGAACTGAAACGGGTATTTCCCAAAGGGCATCAGCAACATGGAAGTGAAAGTAGTTTTTTCCCCGCTTCATGTGGGAGTCAAGCTGGTCAGGCACAAGGCGGGGAGAGGTGGGAATGGGTTGGAGTTTAACTTTGTAGGGGTGCTCCAAGGCACAATTGGGGTGCACACCTGGAGATCAGAGCATGAGCGAGCCCTGCATTTCACCCTCATACCAAATGGGGAGGACCAGGCTACACATTTACTAGGCTCCTATTTTTCCTAGAGGGTATGAGATCCTGGCAAATCGACTACAATGGGGGGGACCACTGGAAGGTGGAGTGCTTACCTGGAGGCCATGGGAAAGATTTTCCTGACTCCAAGGTCAAGAAGTACTTCGTCACATCCTTTGGGTAAGAAACTGAACTGAGCAGGCTGTGTTGGAGGAAGAGGGTCGGGACACCTTTTGCCAAACCCCAGGCCTACCTACGTAAGGGCCTCTGTGAAGCTCAAGGGAGGTGCTCCCCAAACCAGCTCAGTCTACTGCCTCCTGGGGCAGAAGTAAACTCAGTGACTGGGGGTGGGACCGGTTTAAGGGGGCTGGGAGCCCCTGGGGCAGTCGGCTGTCAGGAGTGTCCACAGGCTGTCCATAACGAGGAATGCGAGTTCTTGGGGCCCCGGGAGACTGGGCGTATGGATTGGGATCAGGTGCTGCCCAGGCACAAGGGAGTCAACTCCCTGCGTATTTCTCATGGGCCCACACCAAGGACGGAGCCAGCGTCAGCACCAGCCAGGAGCTGTCCTGCAGCCGTCAGGGGACACACTGCTGGGTCCCCTGAACCACCTCCCTGGGTGCAGGCCACGCAGAGCACACCTAGGAATACAAGCTTTTCCTTCTCCCCAGCTTATGCCTCAAGTCCCAGATGGTGGACCTCAAAGCTGAGGGCTACTGGGAGGAACTAATGGACACAATCCGGCCTGACATCGTGGTGAAGGACTGGTGAGTGAGGCCCGGCCCCACACTGCATCCTCCCCTTAACCTGAGAACACCTGGAGGGAGTGCCCACTCTGCCCAGCAGTGTCCTAAGGCAAGGGTAGTCCCTGAAGCCAGGCCAACCCGGCTGGCTTGTTCCCCATCCCCTCTCTCCCCCCAACACACACCTGCTGTGGGCAGACCCAGCACTTGCTCATCCAGCAGTGCCTCCTGGCCTCCCCACCATCACATCAGCAGGGGATAAACCTTAACCCCAGTTTACAGATGGGGAGACTGAGGCCTACAGGTGAGTTATCTCAGACACGCACGAGAGCAAGACACCCAACAACCAGCCTTCCCAGACCTCACATCTGCGCACATGCCTTCTCATCTGCCTCCCCTGCCCCCTTCCACCATTTATCCCACAACTCCTTCTCAAGCTCCTCTCTGCAGAGCTGTGCCAGCCGCGCTGCCTTGGCCCATGGCAGAAGCAGGGCCCAGGGCCACCACTCTGAGGGTGGAGGGGTGGGATTGGAGGGGTGTGCAGAACTGCTGGGGGCGGGGAGATAGCAGGGCTGAGCTCTGTGCCAGCCCACACCACACAGGCCACCCCTTGAATCTGCCACTGAACCCACAGCCTGGCCTTGACTATCTCTGTAGAGAGACTTTTGCCTTTTAAGATGCAATCTCTGAAATACCCAAAAGGGTTGCCCTTTTCTCAGATGGGGTAACTGAGGCCCGGCACAAATAGAGACTGCACACCCTGGGGGTACAGGGAGCACTGAAGGTGGACCCCATGGACCCCATAGGGAAACGAAACTCCAATTTGTAAGCCTGTTGCCTGCCCACCGACAGGGCCACCCTTTGTCTTGGGGTGCAGTCCTGAAGCCCAGCCTCCCCTAGGTTCGCCGCCAGAGCAGACTGTGGCTGCACCTACAGCATCCGAGTACAGCTGGTCTCAGCCAACTACATCGCCTTGGCCTCCTTCGAGCCCCCACCTGTGACCATCGAGCAGTGGAGCGATGCCCAGTGGAGAGAGGTGAGACCTCAGCTGCTAGCCTGCCATCCACTTCCCCCAGGGCCTGGATGCCCCAGCTCTCCCACCTGGGACTCCCCCCTTCTCCTCTCCAGTTGAGTGGTCACCCCATCTCACCCCCTCCCTAGTCCTGGTGGTCACTCCCTCTCTCTTCCTTCCAGGTCTCTCACACCTTCTCAGATTACCCTCCAGGCGTCCGCTACATCCTCTTCCAGCATGGGGGCAAAGACACCCAGTTCTGGGCAGGCTGGTATGGGCCCCGTGTTACCAACAGCAGCATCATCATCGGCCCTAAGACGACCAGGAACCCAGCAGCCTCCACAACTCAGCCCGAGATCATGCAGATGCAGGAGCAGGAGCAGGGGCAGGGGCAGAATCAGGAACGAGAGCAGGAACAGCCATGGCCATGGCAGGTGGACTTTAATAACCTGCCCTCCCCACTTCATTTCTACAGACCCCACTAAAGTCTGGATCTGATAGCCTTTCATCTGCCCTCTGTCCCCGCCAGCTAAGTGCCAAAGGTCTCCTCCAGGCAAGAGATGAGCCTGTGGTGGGCAGGGAGGCCCCTGCCCTGGGACCTCCTGCCACAGTTCTAACCCTGGGCAAACCCGCTGTTGTGTGGCTCTCACTTCTTGTCATAATAAATGTTCCAGTAAAACCAGCCTGGGGTTGGGTCTAGGGGTGGGAGGTAAGGGGTCCGGGTGCTGCACCTGCCCCTCCCACTACAATTAGAGCCGAGGTCAGCCCTTGGGGCCCTTTATTGAAACAACTCACAGCACAGTATTTGAGACAGACAGTGTTGACCGGCTGAACCCCAGGAGGCTGAGAAATTGAGATCCCAGCACCTTCCTGCCCTCCTGGGGGGCCATTCCTCCGTGAAGGCAACCAGACCTGAGCAGCTCCAGGCTGGAGGATGGGCAGTCCACACAGAGGCAATAAGAGCACTTGGAAGCGGGGTGGCCCTGCAGCGCTGCCCGAGGCTGGGGGCCCCCAAAGTCCGATAGTTGTGGCATCCACGGGGGCAGACACACCCTCAGCTGTTTTTATGAGCTCGTTCTTCCACATAGAGCTGCATCTAATGGACAGGAACACACAGCCGTGTCAGGTGGCAGTCAGGGCCCCTATATGGAGGGTCTGCAAGCCCCTGGCAGGCAGATCTCTCTCTCCAAGTGTCAGGTTGCATGGCCACAGCCGAGATGGAGAAGGGAAAGGGGATGGGAGGAGCCTTATGCCAGGTGTTGCCTGGTAACCTCCAAGCTTTGTCCACAAGGCCTTAAGCACACCCTAAATAAAGCACACCTGGTCCCCATGCAGCTCACCTTTAAAATGTCTGATGTCATGGTTTTTAGGGGTATCAGCCGGGGGTCATGCATGTGGACATCCTGCTCATCTGCCAGGATCCAGGGGAAGTCCTAGGGAGGAATCCAGGTGAGGGGGTGGAAGGGCGCTGGACCTGCCTGCCCTCCCTTTGCCTTCCCCCTCTACCTCCAGAGCTGGGGCCCTCAGACCTGGGGACCATCAAATCACTAGGGAAGTGCAGAATCCCGGGCTCCTCCACTAGACAGGTCACGCCTGTGAGTCAGAGCTGGGCTGGGAACCTCAGTGACTTAATAAGCCCGAGCACCAATTCTGAAAGGGGTCAGAAAGGAGCACCTCACTGAGCTGGGGGCCCCAGCACACAGCCACTCCTCCCAGTGCTGCATGCCCAGGTGTAGCAATGGCAGGCATGTGGCCGCACAGCACATAACCAGAACCTACTGGGTGCCAGGCACTGTCCTAAGCAACGTTATGGGTGCAGTGCCCACGACAGCACCCCTGCCCACTCAGAACTGTGGCATCTGCTTACCAGAGCCTCCCGCTGTCTCAATGCCCACCCCCCTTGACCAGTCTCCTCTCACCTTGATGACCTGGATCTTCTCCATGTTGCGAGTGGCAGCTTCCCTCGTGTGCACCAAAACGGTGAAGGTGCAGCCTGAGGAGGCAAGCGTGTGATCAAGGCCGGGCCACACCATGCCGGCCGCTGGGCAGAGTCTCTTCCCACCTCCCTAGTAGCTCAGCAGCCCCAGAGATCAAAGTGTAACGAAAGCAAGTGTTAAGACAAGACACAAGTAAACAGAGACTGAAGACAGAGTGGAGTCAACCAGGGAAGTTCCTGGAGGATGTAGACTTTGAAAGGAGTTCCAAAAAGCAGGAAGAGACAAGGTTCAGAGGAACTTGAGAACACAGACCCCCCAAGGTAGCCATGGAAACGCCCAGGGAAGAGGCAGTAGACGGTGAGCTCACCTGGGGGGTTGTGGTCCAGGACAGCATCACACACGCTGATCTTCAGGATGAAAGCTCGGAGCAGCTGCTCCACGTGAGAGAGCAGGGAGTCCGAGCTGGGAGGGAAAGAAGAGGCAGGTCTGTCACTCTGGTGCCCCCCTCCACAAGCAGTCAACCCCAGAAGCAGATGAGGGGGTCCCGAGCCCCTCTAGTCCTTCTGAGTGTTGGCTTCTAAGGGGGCTACCTGTCACCAGGGGAGTTTAAAACCAGTGCAGAGCCCCACCCCAGACTAATTAAGCCAGGATGGGGGAAAGGGGTGTAGGGAGCCCCTACAGGTGGTTCTAACATGCTAATGTCCCCTTTCCCATCTGAGGACCAGCACCCCAGCCGTGAGGGCAAAGGGCTTGCCCAAGGCCATTCTATTGTCCTGACCTCACCACAGGAAGTCAGCTGCTGACCAGCCAACATTCCTGCCCAAGGTCAACTTTTTTTTAAATATATATCTTTACTGATTTCAGAGAGGAAGGGAGAGGGGGAGAGAGAAACATCCATGATGAGAGAGAATCATTGGTTGGCTGCTTCCTGCATGCGCCAACTGGGGATCAAGCCCACAACCCAGGCTTGTGCCCTTGACCGGAATCGAACCTGGGACCCTTCGGTCCGCAGTCCAACGCCCTATCCACTGAGCCAAACCAATTGACTATGGATTACACCGCTTGATGGGAAGTTAGGACCCTGGATTGTGTCCTGGCTCTGCCACCATTTGGGTGACCCTGGGTAGTTCATGTCACATCTCTGGACCTGTTTCTCCATCTATAAAAGAGGAGGTTGGGACTCGCCATTCACCAGTGCCGTGGTTTCCCATGTGTGAGACGGGAGGATCTCCATGTAACCTGTGTGATGTCCAGAGACCACGGGGCGGCCTGCCTGCTAAATTGGCATGCCTTTCATTTCCCCAAGGTATTCTGAGAGCTGCTTAAAGGCATGAAGGTGGGATACTCCTAAGGACCTCGCACTGTCTAGCAGGTGGATGGCGGAGAGGCGGCTCACCTGATGGACAGCAGTGGAGGCTGGGTGATTTCAAAGACGAATTTCTCCACTGGGCGATGCTCTTTGTCCAAAATTACCACCACCACTTTCTCCACATCATTCTGCAAGGAGAGAAATCTCCTACCCCGGAACTGGGTCTCCCCCGCACCCCCACCCCAGGACAGGTGGGAAAGGGCCCACTCACAGTCCTGCTCAGCCTCTAGGCCCAGGGTCCCCAAGACCCTGGAGGGACGTTTGAGAAGTTCAAGTAGGCACTCCCTGACATGAGTGGTACAGGCTGAGGGGAGAGACTACCTGGGCCCCTTAGGGGTCACAGAAGACACAACAGGAAGAGGATACCCTGAGGGGCGAAGCCCAGATGGAACTTGGGGGTGGAGGGAGAAACAGATGTGAGACCCCAGAACCCTCCCAGGCAGGCCCCACTCAGAACCATCCACGAGGGCTCTGGGCCCAGCACACCTTTCAGAGCCCAGCACACCATTCTCTTGGCCCACGTGCCCTGAGGCCTGTCCTTGGGCTCGGGGGTCTCCAGGGTGCAGGAAACAGGCCTCTGGGTGTGAGAGTCCTGGGTCCCCTGCCAGGTCCAGCATCACCCCATCCCATACCAGGTGTGAGGTGGGCTGGTGCCCTCACCTTCTCCAGGAGCGGCTTGACACAGTGCAGCGTGTCCTGGATATACTGGTTCAACTCCGGGTGGCAGGACATCTGCGCACAATGCCATGATGACTGGTGAGGCCCCAGCACCTCTGGGAAGCCTCCCCCACCCCCTCCAGGAGCCCAAGCCTGCCTGCCTTCGGAGAGAGGCCCGGCAGCTCCCCAGGCTTCCCACCTGAGAGACCAACTTCCCACCATGGGGCTCAGAACTCCGAATCACCCACAGAGGGGGAGAAGCCAGAAGGTGCGAATTCAGGCTCAACGTTAGCACTTCCAGCATGAGGGTTTCCTAACGTGGGGTCCTTCAGCTCCTCCAGAGTCTGAGAAACCCCTAAGTTGTGTTTGAGTATATGGGCATTTTCTTTAAGAGAAGGGATCCAGAAATCGAGTCAGTTTTCAGAAGTTAAGAATCTGGAACGAAGGAGCCATGTGGCCTCAGACAGAGCGCCTCTCTGAGCTTTAATAAACTTTGTGAAGATCTCCAGGGCAGAGTGAGGATTCAGCCAGGTATGTACCTAGTGGGTGCCCAGGCAATGCTGCTGCTCTGTTCCTTTTCCCAGTACACCCCCAGAGCTCCACCACTTCCAGCATTCAGTCGTTTCCTCTAATGTTTACTGAGTGCCTTGTAAGGGGCAGACACTTCTAGAGACTGGGAATCCAGTATTGTGGGGCTTTGTCTCCCTTTTAACCTATAATTAGGGAAAGTGAGGGCAGGGGGAAGGTGCCTGAGGTTTACAGCAATCCTCTCCCCAACCAACCTCAGGGCAACTTCAAGACCAGCTTCAAGAACTCTTTTAAAATACAACCATGCCCCAGGGCAACTCCCTGGGAAGGCCTGGTCCCTAACGCCTGGAGGGGAACTCCCAGCTCAGAGGGGATGGAAGGAGCCGCTGCAGCAGCGGGGGTTGGGAGGTTGTCATGCTGCCAGCCGCTGCCAGGACCTGGAGGTTAGGACCCCCCGCCACTGGAGAACGAGGGGGCCGGGCCTGAAGGTGGAACAGACGCTTAACATCCACTCCCTGCCCACTCCGTGATTAGGGGGTGACCCGGTGGCGCCGGCCCGGCCGTGGGGGCTCACCTGGACAGGCACGTTGTACTTCTTCCGCTTCTGGAAGATGCCCACCGGGTAGACCTCGCGCACGTAGAGGATCAGGTGCACGGCCACCTCCAGGAACTCGCACAGCACGTCGGCCACCACTGCAAGGGGCGCAACCCGCGCGCTCAGCAAAGTCCGCCCGCACAGACCTGCCCTCGCCCCAGACCCGGTCGGCAGGTCCCCCGGTCGGCAGGCCCGGCCTCTCTACCTTGGCCAAAGTTGAGGTCCTGTCGCGTGAGCGTAGTCATCCTTCCCGCCACCTAGGGGGTGGGACCGGAGTGAGGGCTAGTTCCAGAGGCCCAGGCACCTGGGGCCCGCCCGCCACCACCGCCCCTCCCCTCCCCTCCGCCTGGGGGGATCGGAGCAGGACCCCCCTGAACACAGGATCAGGGCAGCTGGAAACGACCCTACCCACCCACGCTGGCGTCGTACCTCGGGAGCATCAACTGCGCCGCGATTAGCCTGTTCCCTGGCCACCACCCGCTGTCTCGGGGGTAGGAAAGGCCAGAAGGGCCGCAGAGGCCGGAGGCGCAGGGCCGGGAGCGGAAAGCGGCACCGGCGGGAGAAGCCGGGCTGGAAGGAGGCTCCACCCCCGCCCGGGTGGTCCCTCCCCGGAGGGAGTCCC